GAGAAAGTAAAACAAAACAGAACAAATCCCCCCACACAGGTAATTATTTCACACTGACACACTTAGCTCAGGAAACAAAACTCATATGTTAATCAGAGTGTTATGTGTTGCTGATGCAGGAGAGCGTTTCTTAATGATACATCATGTCAGAAATGTACACTTTCCTTTTCTTTTATGTAACAATGAATGATGCATTTCTTACACAGGAAACTGAAAGCATAAACATTACAGGCCCAAAGAAATGTGCAGTTTCGCAATTATTTTTGACCAACATGTTTGCTGTTGTTTGTTTGCAAAAGTGTTGAGCCACCTCTCATTTCTTTATTTTGCTTCTAAGAAGCCAGATTGTGTGTTTTTTCAAAATAGTCTAGAGCAGTAGTTTACTGCCTTTCATGGACATTGGCTGCTTATTTCCAGTCCAGTCCTTCTATCTGACCATTCTGAGAGGATTAAGGGTTTCTCTGTGTGTTTGTTTTTCGTGTTAAGTCTTTTAACAATGACTTATGAATCATTCATGCATAAAAAAGGCACCCACCTTAAGAGATGAACCAGCGTTGTGTCTACACATGACAGACCTCTTAGCAAAGAACCAATTTTAAGTTGTATCTTCAGGCGCTTCGTTACTAACAGCCTGTTGCAAAAAGTGGTAATTTGTTCCAATTTCTTTAGCTGAATCTATGAAAAATTACAAAGATAACACAGTTTGACAGCCATAACATAATATTTTTGTACTAACAGGTTATTTCTAAAAAAGCTATTAGCTGACTGTTTGGCATAACAGTATCTGAAAGTCATGTTCTGGAGAAATAGGGGGGGAAAAGATCATAGACCTGGCACAGGAACTGAGAGATGTATCTGGCCCTTCAGTTGATCCATCTAGTGTTCACTGAAGCCAGTGAACAGAAATGGTCTCAGTGGGAGGGTGGCTATCAAGAAGCCATTCTTAGGGTAGGGAGAAAAGGTTGAGATATGCAAAATTGCACAAGAACTTGACTGAAAATCAGTGGCAACAGGTCTTACGAAGTGATGAATCGAAATTTGAGATTTTTAGGTTAAATTTGTGCAGAAGAGGTCAGGGGAGAGATAAAACAGTGAGAGTCTGGAATCATCTGTAAAACATAGTGTGGGCTCTCTTGTGGTTTGAGGCAACATTTCAGCCAGTGGTGTTGGAAATCTTGTCCAGATTGATGGAATTATGAACAAAAAGTACCATCAGATTTTGAGCCACTATGCAAAACCACTAGGAAAGCATCTGTCTGACAATGGCTTCATTTTTCACCATGTCCCTAAACACATTGTGAATGCAGGAAAAGCATAAATGCATTAAAAACACACACACAAAGGAACACCATTAGTCATGGATTGGTCTCCCCAGAGGTTCAAGAAGCCTGCAGAACTATTCCTACAGATTACTTTAAGACAAGAAATCTTGCCTAAGAGAGCTCAGGCTGTGCCTGATCATACCAAATATTGACTTTCAAGCTCATAACATACTCCTGTGTTAAACTGTCCACAAATGTTCGCTTGTTGTTGCATCCTTCGACGTTTGAGCGCAATAAAATTGTGTATTTAGATTATTTATTTTTATATTGATGCAGCCCTTTAATGAGCCCTCGCCTCTGATGGATAAACAGCTTGCTTGTAGTGGAAAAAAAGCTTAAGTTAAAAGGGGTTGGACATTTCATTTTACAGCATTCACATCCAAAATTAGAGTGGACTGCGGTCAATTGTCCACAGCACTGTAGAGGTGAGGCAGGTGAGGCTGAGGCACCCAGCAGTGCTTCTGCACCCAGCAAGGGCAGTCTTAATGAATAGCGAGATAAATGATAAATGTGGCCATATGGTGGAGCCGGCTGGCCAAGACAGGGGTGCTAGCAAGCTAAACACGCACACATTCACACATCCTCAAATATCTCGCTTGTTAATCCGTACCTAGAATTGAAGAGCCATCAAACTGCATAACTCAAGATAGCAGCAGGTAGGGGTTAAGGACCTCTAGGCTCTTTGGATAGATGGGGGCGTTACGACCGACTGTGAAATCATCACCGCACTTCCTGTCAAAAAGTTTTACAGAAATTCGAGCGAGGACACAAACTGACTGCGCGTGAGGCAGACTGTCACTCAGCAGCAGTGACTTTTTAATTACAAGCATTGTATGTGCCTCACTCATAAATGCAGGAAGTCTTCTCAATTTATATGTGCTTCTCTGGTGATTTGCTGTGTGTGTGTGTGTGTGTGTGTGTGTGTGTGTGTGTGTGTGTGTGTGGGGTGTGTGTGTGTGTGTGTGTGTGTGTGTTAACTGAATCAAAGTAGATGAAGCCATATGCTGTCTGTCATACTTTGTAGGCAGTCACTTTCTTGTTTCCTCTCGTCTGCTGTATACAATACTCCTCTCTCATTACTATTCAGCACGCCACATGCTCATATAGTGTAGCTACACAAACACACACACGCACTAACTAGCCTACAGATACACCCACACAAACTTTATTCACACACATAAACTCAAACACAGTGAACAAGCCATTGTTCTCCTTTTACAGCAGATGCTATCTCTCTCTAATTGGCTCAGCAAAAACAAAGGAAGGGCCTTGGATGCCCCGCTGCAGCTATGCTCTTCCAGTCTACAGGGATGTCCTCTGCTGGACCAACACACATACAGGGTCCTTGGATATGGCTGACCTCTGCGCTGTGTAAAGAAGGCCAGTTTCTGATTACATGGCACAGTTTCAGGGTCTGTGATGAATCAGTAAGCAGGCAAGTACACTTCAGTTCAGTGCACTTTTGAAACACAATATGAAAACACCCTGTGGGTTGCCAAAAATGCTCCAAACAATCGAGGTCCCCTGAACGCTACATGCAAATGGCGATTTGGAGGCTGAGCATCACATCACAGAATACGCAATGTTTGGTCAAGCCATTTTCTCATCAAGTGTGTTTGTCAAAATCCAGAACTCCTGCTCAGATCTCGCCCCCAAAAAGTTTACACCAGTTCTGCCAGTGCAGCTTCTCACATAGCTGATGGGCGATAAGCCTTCACTGCATGCAATCCACAGCTGTCAAACTTCCTCAGTGTTGTGAAACACAGAGAGAGAAAAGAATAAGCGGGGTAAGTGTTGGTGCAGTTTAGTTCAGCACTGTGAAATATGACTGTACTGCTGGTATCATAGATCTTAACTTTAACTGCAGTAGTGCAGTGGTACTTGATGGGGTGTTATATAGCAGAGAAAAAGATCAGAGAGTCTACTGTGACCTACCATCCACACACGTTTCACTGGTGATTAATAATAGGTGAAATTGTTCTTCTTTGCCAAGAGACAAAGATGAATGTATTCTGCATACCTTACTCTCTACTATTTCTATATCAGGCATAAAGACTGTAAAAGACAACTGATTAAGGGCCCAGCCTTCAGGCACATTACCTCCACAGATGCTGCCATTCGCTGTAATCACTCGAGTGCCTAACGCACGGGGACAAATGACATAAAATCACAAGAAACGGCATCCCCTTCTGGCAGAAAGTGTGCATAGCAGGCAACTGCTGTTGGTTCAGACCTCGTGGTTTCATCAGTGCAGATTTATTGAGAGCAGATGTTTATATGAAAAACAGACATGAGAAGATCAGCCGACAACAAACCGCAACTGCAATCAAAAAGACACAGAGCAATAAAGCACCATGGCTCCTTTACAAGACGTTTTAAAGAGGGGGCTGCAGCAGCTGCAGCAACAGTTTGAAGAGGTTCAAAGTCCCGAGAGTTAGAAAAATTTATTAAGGACCACACAACTGATTAATACTTGTGTTCTCCTGGTCTGGTATTTTTTCCCCATTCTTTCTGTTGTTGTTGTTTGTTTTCCCACCAATTACGTGGGCTGAAACATAAATAATTCATGCAGCACTTAAGGATGAAAACACAAGACTGATAAACAACAAAGTAACTTCAGTCATCACTAATTCAGCATCTGCTAAATGCTTTTTCACCACTTCTTATGCCACTCAGTCTGATTACAGGATGCTTTCGTCAGCATGTCTGCGCATCGCATGTCCAAACAATCCACGATTAGATTCTGTCTTCTATTCCTCTCCCTAGCTTCAGTTGCTAATTTTAATTCCAGCTTTCTTCATGTTCCAGTGACTAATAGAGCTTACAATCAAATGTAGAGCTAATTAGATTTTTCAAGTGACCATTATTTCTATAACATGTTGTCATAGAGCTGGTGCTTGCAAACATATCCCGAGTGCTCCAAAAGAGGACTTAATTTGGGCACTGAACTAGCACATGCATAATAATGACCTTATTTGCATATATTATGTCAGTCTGTTTAGTATGTTAATGCTTGGTAAACTTCTGGGCTTAATCGTTCATCTGACATTCTAATTGGGAGTTTGTGAATTGGTTACATTGATGCTCTGACACTTTTTATTCTTCTGCCAGGTCTTGTTGGTTCACGTCGCAGCCAAACAGCCTCTCCTTCTCGACCACAAACAGAGCAATGGATTCACCAGCTTCAGAATATATTTGACAAACTGCAGATTTTCATGTTTAATTCAATGTCAGCATAGTGATGGTGCTTCTTTTGAAAGAAGTTACGAGGCCGGACTGCAATCCTAAAGGCCTCGACATTTTAGGGGATTTGACAAGATAATAAATGGCTGAAGCGTATTGTTCTGCAGGACACTGCGCTCTGGTTTGTCCGACGCAGTACAGTCAAACAATATATAATGACCTGAGCTGTAACCTCATTTGCTTCTGCAAGAATACTAAGGTAACTGTAAGGTAAAACATAGATAACACAAATATTTAAGAATAACCAAGTGAATAAACTAATTTTAACAATTATCTTTACAGCCCTTTCCCTTTTGAAATGAATACAATGGTGTTATTATATATTTTAAATTACAGACAAAAAGTAGTAAAACAAGTTTATAAACTCATCATAAAGGTTTGTAAATACTAGTTTCACCATGGATTAAAAACACACAAAAATATGACTCTTAGATGTCCAAGAAAGGCAATGTAATATTTTATTTATAATACAGTACTTTGTTAAGCCAGCTGTACTAGTAAGCACAGTGAGCTATGAAACTTCACTATAATAAAAGCACTCACAAGCTACACTACAGTATAAACAGGAAAGACACTGAACAGCCTAAAAGCTCCGTGTAATCAGAGAGCAGACCATGTCCTCCCCTCAGCTCTCATTCACAGCGTGTTGTTGCATACCGGGGGAAATGTCCAGCACTATAATTAAATGCACCACAGTTGAATACAACAAGCAGACAAACTACTAATAAAAGATATTTTTTTAAAAACCAACAATAAATGGAAATTTATAGTCTTACAGAAAGTATTTAGAAACACTTTTCCTTAAAATAGTAAGTATTCTTTATACTAGATCATATATATGGCTTCAGAGATATATATAAGAGTAAACATGTGTTATGTTGGGTTTTTTCCTCTACCGCTGTCAGCCATGCGACCTTGATCAGCCTGCATAATGGACTCACAAAGTTGGAAGTCAGTCACGTGTCACCCTGGCATCCTCCTGCAGCAGCCTGTGAACTCAGCCTCTTCAGCTCCTGCCTGCTTGCTGCACTCTCAAACCTGAAGCCCTCTATGACCAAGGTCTCTCCGTCCTCCTCTATGCTGGCCCGACACTCCTGCTGATTCTGTCACAACAACAACAACAACATGCACACAAGGCTGTGCTGTGCACACTATGCCTCAGCACATAAAATAATAACAAGGTCATTTGTGCATCCTTTGTGCTTTGTTAACAGCTGCAATAGACAGAAGCTGCGCATTCATTTATGTGTTTTCTAGTGTGTGTGTGCGTGCGTACACACACTATTATATCTGTCCTGTGAGAAAAAATTATTTATAGGGAGTCCTCACTCCTGCTAATTGGGTTCTAGAGGTAGAAACCTGGAGCTCAAATTTTATTTTTGTGAGACTGAACAGTCTCTCATGGGTCGCTGGTCGTCTTGTTTCCTGAAACGATTGGGCCAATCGTTACATTTGTAGGTGGGGCTGAGGCTGGCAACACGTGCGGATGAAATTGATGCAGCTGTCAAGGCTGCTGTAAATCTACTCACTGAAATAACAGCTCCTAAATCAGAACGACATGCATTAAAGATATTATGGTTTAGCAAATAGAATTCTTTTTCTGATTCTGCCCAGTGGTTCTGGCAAAAAGTTTTATTTATCCGTCACCCCCTGTGGCACTTTGGGAAAGAGGTCAGGAGGGTCTAGTCTAGTGCTTAGAGTGCATGGAAGGAATGGAAGACAATGTAAGAGATGTCCAGAGGCTAAGCCTAAAGTGAAACTAAATGGACTGAAACGGTTAACGTCTGTGTCAAATATATTTTATATTAATGGCAATTCAGATTTACTTTGCATATCCTTTTCTTGCAGCTAAGAAGGGAAATTAACTGGGTTGCTATGCAACTATAGGGAACTCATAACCTGACCACTTGTGACCTTGTTATAGCAGAAGTATAGTATCAGCTTCATTAAGTATGATAGAGACAGGATTAAATTAATTAAACAAATAAACCCATTTAAAAACAGAAAGACAGTGGGTTAGAAACAAAGAAGACAAACATTATGTAAACTCAGCCGGGTAAGTTTCCTCAAAGGAATATGGTTGAGATTTGACAAATAAAAATACTTGATTCTGGGCTGACTGTGGTCTGCAGCACAGTCACGTGGTTCACTGTAAACATACCATTCTTTGCTGTCTCTGGTTGGAGAGATCTAACGATGCACACCAATTCATCATCTCTTCAATGTCTCTCATAAGTAACTGAGCTTCTGACAACACTGTAATGACATTGATGCAAATACTCAATAATAGATACCACTACTAATACCCACAATGCTTTTACTAGTTGATTTTTAACAATTTCACTTCGGAAGTCTTTCTAGTCTTACTGACCACTCAGAGCACTTTAGACTACAAGCCACATTTAATCATACAATCATGCAATGCTCTCTGTTCTGTACACTTTAAGCATATTATCTGCCATTCATCTCTGTCTAATTTAGGCTCATCAATTAACCTGACACACAAGTCTTTGAACTGTGGGAGCAAGTTGGAGTATGCGAGGAAACCCACCCAGGAATAGGGATAACATTCAAACGCCACAAAGAAAAAAATATGTAACTGTGTTAGCCTCAAATAAATCCTGATCTCATGGACAGCAAAGAAATCTTTATTTCAATCTAGTGGCCTGTAATAAAGAGAACTCTAATTGTGAGATGTATTTATGATACCACCACCACTCACGCAGTTACAAACAACACTTGTGTTGCATTATGACAGTTAAATGAATCTTGAGAACATTTTCTTCTTCAAATCACAAAAAAACCCAAATCTAAACAAATGTTTTTCTGAAAGCGAGTAAAAAATACTGATAATATATGCAATTGCTGGGCTTACGCTGACGTGTCTTTGCCATGGAGATCTCAGATTTCTCTTCACATGTCATGTCAGTGATCTTTGCAGCTTCTCTTACACTGCAAAAGACAACATAGCACTTTTAGGACATCTGTGATACAACTGAGCTGATACAGTGAACAGAGAAAAATATACACCTTAATAGTTAATAGGATAATGCACAGTGGAGTATGCCCAACTTCAGAAATCATGAAAACAATTCAGTTAGAAATAAATAAATAAATGGACTGGTACTTAAAAAGCACCTTTCTACTCAACACTTCAAGTACTACTGCAAGTCTCATCCACCTAATCACTCACACATTCGTACAGCAATTTTATATATGCCTAAGCACTTTATAACATTCACAAACACACTCTGATCATGAATCAGAGGTAACTTGGGGTTCAGTATCTTGCCCAAGGATACTTCAGCATGTGGGCTACAGAAATCAGGAATTGAGCAATCAGCTTTCCAACTGATAGATGGTGCGCTCTACCATCTGAGCCACAGCTGCCCATACAATATGTTGATCAAATTCTTATTTTAATCAAACACGCACGTTTCCATATTGCAGCCTACACATATACTGCTACTAGCTTTAGAGAAAACTCATGAGGGCTAAAACCAATGCTTCTCTCACTTTCCATAAAGCAATTTCAATGTTTACTATGGACCTATTTAAGGTTAAAACCTCTTGATCAGCTTGGCTTAGTCTTTCAGTATGCAGACTGACTAGATCTACTGCTTTAAAAGTATCATGTGAAGGGATTATGAATATCAACCTGTTAAGGCTTGTTATGTAAAACTTTTAATTAGCTGCACTAAACCTATAGAGAATGACTAATATTTAAGATACCTTCAGGACTACACTATCAACTTACCATCAAGTTACCATCAACTGCACTGACAAAATACAAACATCAGTAAGGACGGGCTGCTAGGCATTAGGGAATTGCTTTTTACTAGGTTAACTGCTTGTAAAGGCATCACTTTATAAAGAAGTAAATATCGCTATAATTAAAAGAAACACCCACATATAAAAAACATGATGTATGTCACAAACGAAAACTTAACAAAAGGTTATCAAGAACCTGAGCAATAAGCTAATGGTAAGTGCTACATTAGCGCTAGCAGCTAATCAGTTTTAGGTACTGTGACAAAAAATGAACCAAACCTGTGTTTTTGTTAACATTAAATATTTATTATTAGTATTATAACTATTTGATTTTCTTGCTTACCCGTTATATTTGGGAATTGTCACTGGAAGATAATCCTAATTTAGGCAAGTGGCAACTAAGGGATACCACAATATAATGCGCAAAACTGATTTCTATACTGTCATTGGTTTGTCCCTTACTCGACCTTAAATGCCCCGTACCGTTACCTGCAATGTCACTTTCTGACCAAGAGATGGCACTCTTACAAATACCAAATCTGATTTGACCGCAATCGTACTTCGCGTTCCATACAGTGACGGCCTGTCCCGCATACAAGTGTGGAGTAATACGTGATTAGTGAAAAGAAGGGGTCGTTTGTTTGGTCTGCGTAGTAGAATAAGCTGGGTAAATGAAGACTGTATTTACAGTATTTGTTTCCTTTTTGCTTTTTTTTCAAAGGAAATGCCCTTGTGACTTCTGTTATAATTTACTGTATTTGTCTTTATTGTTTTACATGAGGTATTGATTAAACTGAAAACCAACATTTTACAGTATTTTTGTTATAAGATTATGGATGGACAGTGCATATTTACGCTATGCCCAGCTAACTGTGCATTGTGCTATTTGATAGTTAAAGATTCGGCAACCCTAGCTATAACACTCGTGCTACTCGTGAAATAATTGCCTGTTCACTATTACCTTTAAACATGGTTCAGGGCATTACTTGTTTTCTTGCCTGTTTCTTAAGTCATTCTTTAGCTTAACAAGTAGTCCCTGTACTCTTTTGTCCTTTTAACACAAAAACACACACACAATAGAGAGCTAATTTTTAATCAATATAAGGACCACAAGTAAAAACATGTGCCAAGTTTTAGCTTTATCTATTAATATAGTGCCATGAAAAATATACACACACTACCTGATTTCTTTCTTTCCTTTTTTGACATATCTGTGACACTTACCTGTTTCAGATTGTATATATTGCATATTACAACAAAAGGTACCTGGAGCAAATACAAACCACATTTTTTAAAGAGTGATTTTAGAAGAAGAAGAAGAAGAAGAAGAAGAAGAAGAAGAAGAAGAAGAAGAAGAAGAAGAAGAAGAGCCACTGGGGGGAAAAAGTGGGCAGGTCTTTTTTTTCTTCTTTTCCAGAATTCTGTGGGGGGGAAAAGTCAGAATTCTAAGTAAGGTTAAAATTCTGAGATTAAAGTCAAAGTTCCATCAGAATTCTGAGAAAAACAAATTCTGGGGAAAAAGTCAGCATTCTGAGAAAGATTATGACTTTAATTTCAGCAAATTTTTGAGATTAAAGTGTGTGTGTACATGCACAGACCACATGTGCATACTGTTGTACACATAAACTCACAGATGTATATGACAACTCAAGTTTGTGGCATTAAATTTGTATTCAACTTTTAAACACGTAATACATTTGTACTTGAGCATCAGCACATGAACTGATGGACAGACATTCTTCTTCGGGATTTTCTGGTAGAGAACAGAATTCATGCTTCCATTAATTACAGCAAGATGCCCAGGTCCTGAAGCGGCAAAGCACCTCTAGACCAAGCCCTAAATCTCAGTTTTTCAGATACTTGCAGCAAATACTTCATCATTTGCTGCTGGAGATTTTAGGAGGGGAGAGGAAGTGCCTTCTGCCCTCGACTGTGACATGTGATATGTTTAGAGTTGCAGCATTTGGGGGGGAGTCATATGAGAAACATACAAGGTTGGAAATATAGAACATGGAGCAAATATTTATATTTTTATGGCAGAATTCATGAAGCGTGTGGTATGCATATACCGAGGAAAGGATAATGGGAGCTATGGTGATCGTAACAGTGTGTGAGAAAGTGCACACGCTCTTTAAGACTGTGCTTTTACTTTGAAAGGACTTGAGCAGCGGAGTGACTCCCGGAAGTTTTTGTTTTTCTCACCTGTCAGTTCGGTCGAGACACGGCACCAGTGCCGAGCCTTGTCTCTTTGTTTTCTCCTTGAACCAGCTCTTGTTTTTTCCAAATTAAATGACAGTCCTATGTGGTCAGTCGATACCTAACTGAGGACAGCGTTTAACACGGTAACTGAAAGTCGAGAATAAAAAATAATCGTCTCCTTTTTCTGCACCTAGCCAGAAGACGTTAGCCAAGCATAGCTAGCCGTTATTATCATAATAGATCAATCATTTTGATGCGCGTAGCTGTCGATATGTATTTATGTTTCTCTAAAGACCGTTGCTTAATTGTTGTGTTATTCTTATTGTTGGCTGTTTCACAACCGGACGTCAGGGTTGTTTGGTGTTTTGTCAGCACTGTTCGCGGAAGCTAACGGCGTAACGTTAGCTTTGTATACACGCGAAATTCATTGATTGTTTTCAGAACGATTATAGATGTTTGCTGCTGTCGCTTTGTGTGGAAGATTGTGTTTTTTCAGCTGAGATAAGCCTTTTAGCTGTTAGCTTTCCTGTTTTAAGTGGAGAAGTCTTAACGGAATTACGTCGCTCTTCTTGCCTTGTTTTGGATTCACGTCCACTTTCGTTTTTAAGTACTTGTTGTGGGTCGCTTTCGCTTTCACGCCGACTGTCGTCAAAGTCAGCAGTTTTCCTTTTTCTCTCTATTTCTCCGTTTCTATTCATCTCCGCGGGTCTATCAAACTATTCGGTAACTCTGCTTAAACTTATTTTTCTAAAGGCTTAGGCCTTTAGTGATAAAAACTTGGCTCCTGTGTGTTTGCTGCATCATTGCATGCTGACATCATCAAGAAGCTGCACCGTCTCTGAAACCGAGCTACTCCGAGCAGAAATTATCCAGGAGGGTGTGGGGGAAATGTCAAGTAGCTTTACTGAAACACTCATATCGTTCCTGGAAGTCAGCTCTGCTGGCACTTCCTTTAACAAAGGCATTCAAGTCAGTGTGAGATATTTCTTTGTAAATGTGCAGAGTTAAAGTTTCTTTTTGATAAATTCTTTTTCAGCCTCTCATTCAAAGCCATAGGCCAGGAACTTAGTGTACACAATGTTATGTACATGTTATGGAAATCACACATTGCAAATTGCCTTTTTTGGGGGGTAGATCTTTTGTAGACTATTACAGATCTGACTCCTTTATTGTTCAGTGTTGGTAATTGAAGAGGACCTACCTTCCAAGTACATTCATCCCTGGTGTTAAATCAAAATCATGTAATTCCAGTGTCAAGTGCCCAAGGGTAATAGGAAGCACCAGCACAAAATTGCATGCAATATGTGAACAAACTGATTTTGCATGCTAAAAACCTCTCGTTGTCTTTAGGGCTTTTCTGATGTCAACCTCTGGCGGGGCTTTCTTCTTTTGTGAAACTGTGGTTTAAAAAGACCATTGACTGTTAGGAGAATTCTACTTACAGACATTAAATGCCTTATGAATGAATAGAACAAGTTGACAGTGTAGACTGTTTGTTGGATAATATAGAAAATATTTATTTCTTAATATGATAATAAATCTAATATAGTTTGACTTTGTTTTTCTTCACACAAATATAGGATATTTAAAGAAGTTCTTCATGTATCCCCCAGGTCTTCTATCTGCCTCAGAATATGGCCTGTGTAGGTATGGATTCCCCAGCAGTGGATGATGACATTTGCATCCTTAAACATGAGACAGCCTACACCACTGCTGCTGAGAGTCCTGTGTCGGTGTGTGCCGGTGACGAATCGGTCGCCTCCCACTTTGCCCTGGTCACGGCATACGAGGACATCAAAAAGAGGCTGAGAGAGACAGAGCGAGACAATGCCCTGCTGAAGAAGAGAGTGAAGCAGCTTGAAGACAAGGTATAGATGGAAGAGCAGAGTAGGAAAGAGTAGGAGGATGGGACAACAAAGGGAAGATGGGGATAGAAAAGAGAGAGAGAGAGAGAGAGACAAAATTTAAGAACATAGAGCTTATCATGCTGTCTAAACAACCAGAGAGCAATGTTTACAAAGGGTGACCTATGAACAAAGATGAATGATTTTTCTATTGTGCACGACTTCAGAATGATGGACAAACACAAAATACTAATACCTCACTGCAAAAAAAAAAAAAAAAGGAAAGATAACCTCTTGGAGTGTATGCATGTCAGCATCATTAATATTGTTGGTCTGTTGTCAAAACAGAAAAAACCCAACAATGAGAAATAAATGTGCTCTGTTTAAAAAAGAAAGGAGGTCTGGAGAAGTGTGTCTTTGGCAAACACTGTGCTCATATTCAGCAGAGAAGAAGGCTCTTGAAATTGGAATTAAGAAGAAAGGATCCAGTAAACGGATATAGTGAGAGAGTGAGTTATTTGAACAGCAAAGGTCTTAATACCGATTGCAGACCGAAGCGAAAGTTGGGCACAACATGTGGGCAGAGCACGAGCTTGTTTGTTTAAAATCTGTCAGTTTTAGTTTTATGTGCTGCAGCACTTGGTCCATCAAGATAGGATGTGGTGGGAGGAAAGTGACTTCCTACCGCAACATTTTAAATTGAACATTTTTTTTCTCCTCTACTTTCTTCTCTGTTATTTCTTCTTTCACCACTGTAGCTTTTCAGGCCAGATGCTCATTCATCAGAGGGGCCCCAGTACGTGAACAAGGCCTTCAGTGCTTACCGAGGTATCTATATAGAGAAGGAGGACCTGCAGATGGAGCTTAACAAACTGGTGCGTTTTACTGATTAATCTGAACATCTCATAAACTAACAGTGCAGCCAAGCTTAAAGGCTTAATGTCTTCCAAACCTGACAGTAGCTTATTTTCAAGTATAAGGATAATAAAGAGAGTTTGGTTTTTTTTGCCCACCTGGGACTGCAAAAGTAAGAGTTTGAAACATTGTTTTAAATACACTGACTCTACCTTCATGCTCTTTGGCTCACTGTCTGTTTTGTTTTTTTGTTTTTTTTCCTCTGTCAGAAAAGGGAAACGAGTGAGAGAGAAAGGATTCTGATGGAGCAGCTTCACACCAAAGAGGTGGAGCTGCTTCAGCTGAGGACAGAAATGGACACCAGCCAAGGTACAGGTAGAGTACACAGGCCTGCTGTCTCTGAACTGTTCAGTGGAAATGGTTCTGTCCTCTGATGAAACAGATAGTGGACATTTAGAGCACATGAGATTTGGATGAAATACAAGGAAAAGAATCCTGTTCCTGAATTTTAATCATATTAAATTCAAGGACTGAAATTGTTTGATAATTAGCTATGTCGGACAATCGAAGTAATAATCTACTCTTTAAAATATCTCCATCCATCCATTTTCATGAGTTAAACCATGGTAGCAGTAGAGTATTTGAGCTAGTTCAGACGTCCCTCTCTCCCACATGTTTTCAGACCATAGAAGCTATATA